TGTTCCACCTAATGTTTGCCCCCATAACCTTTATTGCAGCTACTAAGCTTCTCCATGATAAAGAAGAATTCGATCCCAAATAAACTTCCATGAAAGTTAAGAAGGAAATTATTTGGCCTGTATAACTTACAAAGTAGCAAATTTGGGCTCTAAGAAAACCGGCTTGCTTGGCTAGGATAGCAATATTAAACGCATATACAATTTAGAATCTCGATTTCTCTTTGTATTTTAAACAACATAATTTGTCCCGAGGCAATCAATGGAAGTTTCTTGTCTTTCATCTTTGACCCAACTATGAAATTTAGTCATTACACAATGAATTTGGCAATTTATAACACGAAGCCTTTATTAAAATCCATCTCCACCTAAGTTGTGGCCATCCTCCCAAAGCATTCGGGCATTTGTCATTCGTGGTCTCACCCTCTAAAACAAAGTTGTTTGGTACAGCTTGTGGGACCGTCGTAGTTAAAATTTCTTTCCCACCCCCACATAGCAGCTTCTCTAGCCAGCCCTACGCTTTCCTCAAAACCCTTTCTCTTGTTGAGCCAAATGATTCCTTTTTGGATCTACCCACCACTACTACCAAATCGAAGAATTTATCATTAAAATCCACAACAGGAGTTTGCAAGATTCTCTCCATATTCTCAGCTTCCTCTATAAACACCGATTTTGCTAAATGTCATTGAAAATTNCCAAATCGAAGAATTTATCATTAAAATCCACAACAGGAGTTTGCAAGATTCCCTCCATATTCTCAGCTTCCTCTATAAACACCGATTTTGCTAAATGTCATTGAAAATTTGGCCAAATTCATTATTTGGCCATAAGCTATTTCATATTCTTTGAGACATTCCATAGTAGTCCAACCCNTTTGGCCAAATTCATTATTTGGCCATAAGCTATTTCATATTCTTTGAGACATTCCATAGTAGTCCAACCCGTTATCAATTGTAGCTCTTGTAAACACCAAACTATCATCCGCAATAAAATTTGTGAGACAAAGAAGGCCCCATGATAAGAGAAAAAAACATGTAAAGAAATTTTATTCTTTGCTTTCTTCAAAATCATGAACACAAATTGGAAACAAATAAGGTGATAGGGGAACACCTTGTTGCGGCCCCCTTTTAGGCTCAGAAAATATCATTTGTTTTATACTTTAAAAGATAGAATGTCATGTTGTCTTTACATAGATTATCACCAACCAGATCCATCTATCATCAAAATAAAGATTTCTATCATAGTTTCACAAAAAAACTCCACTCCACCCAAGTGTAAGGTTTACTCGTGTAATTCTAGGCACATAAAGTTCAAAGGCGAGAAGAAGCTAAAAAAGAAGAAGAAAGAGAGGGTCATTAGTGACGTATGTCTCGTTTGTCAATAATTAAATGCCTAGGAATGCAAGTGCTTTGACACTTGTACCCATCTGTGGTGGGAATTGCTTCATTTCTACAGCCAATTTGCCGAGACCTTTTAGATGATCATATAGTTCACATTACAAAGACTGATTGGACGAAATTAGAGATTTCACATTTGGAAACGGAATGATGCGAGTGTTGTTGAATTCAACAACCGCTACCACCAGAATCCCAGAATCTCTAGAAGACAAAACATGCCCAGGCCATTAGGGCTACAGGCCTTGATAAATTNCACCAGAATCCCAGAATCTCTAGAAGACAAAACATGCCCAGGCCATTAGGGCTACAGGCCTTGATAAATTGAATCTAATGAAAGACCTTAACTATTTGGGTTGGTTGAAATTCCTTGAGGAGACATTCATGTGACGAGTAACTTTCGATGACACTGTTGATTGNTTGAATCTAATGAAAGACCTTAACTATTTGGGTTGGTTGAAATTCCTTGAGGAGACGATTCATGTGAGGAGTAACTTTCGATGACACTGTTGATTGTCATCTAAATCTTTTAGATCCTAATTTGTAGGATTTGATAATTATCATGTATTTATTTATTTTTCCTCTCCTATTTCCCTGTATATTATATTTAAACACTTTCAAAGTTAACGAGAAGAAGTAGTCTTTCACTTATATTGGTTTATTTAACATGGTATCAGAGCTCTCTTATGATTTTAGGATTGTCTCTTGATTTTCTTTCTCTTTGTTGTGCTTCCCAATTTTCGGCAACAACTTGATTATCTTCTATCATGGGTGAAAATACTCCATTCAAACAGGCGAGTTCAGCCACAAATCCTAATAGTCCATTATTTAAACAATTCCGACAATCCNAGTCTTTCACTTATATTGGTTTATTTAACATGGTATCAGAGCTCTCTTATGATTTTGGGATTGTCTCTTGATTTTCTTTCTCTTTGTTGTGCTTCCCAATTTTCGGCAACAACTTGATTATCTTCAATCATGGGTGAAAATACTCCATTCAAACAGGCGATTTCAGCCACAAATCCTAATAGTCCATTATTTAAACAATTCCAACAATTCCGGTACCTCCATTGTACCCCGAATCTATACTGGGAACAATTATACCACATGGAGCCGTGCCATGAAACTTGCGTTGAGTGGCAAGAATAAACTAGGGTTCATCGATGGTACACTAGAACAGCCTGATGAAAGTGCACCAGCTAACGAGCGGGCCCTATGGCAACACTGTAATGATATCGTCTATTCTTGGATCATCAGTTCTGTTGCAGAAGAATTTCAAGATTTGGTTCTTCGTAAAAATTTTGCTTCAGATGCATAGGAAGATCTCCATGAGCGATACTCGCAAAGCAATAAAATCTTTATTTATCAGATTCGTCAATCAATCAATGATCTTCATCAAGATCATTTATCTATATCTGCTTATTACAACAAACTTTAGGGATATTGGGATGAATTGGCCACTCATCTCCCATCACTATCATGCACATGTGCAACGGCTAAAGTCTTGGCCGAACGAGAATAGGAAGAAAAAGTTATGAAATTCTTAATGGGTCTCGATTCCACTTATGCCGCTATTCGATGACAAATTCTCCTCATGAAGCCTATGCCATCCGTAAATGAAGCTTTTGCTATGATTACCCAAGAAGAAAAGCAAAGAGATGTTACAGCCTCTCACAATTCTTCTATGGAGGTTGCTGCCCTATCTACCCGACGCGATACAACCATGCGTAATTCCAGCACTCCAATTGATAATCATCATCCCACCATGGCAAATAATGCAAGCGGTGGCAATTCCTCATTCAATCATCACCATGGCAATTTCACCACGACACTTCAAAAGCAAAAGGTCGACGGAAATTCTCATTCACGCAATACGTCTAACAATGGCAAAGGGCGACGGGCCTTTTGCACTCATTGCAAAAGTCTTGGGCTATCGGGTTTGGGGCACACTATTGATCAATGTTGGAAAATTGTCGGATATCCAGAAGGTCATCGGCTTCATAAGCCCGGTCCTAATCACAATCCAAAAGGAGCCGTAAACAATGCTGCAACATCATCCGGCTCTAATCCAATTCCATCTCTTACACCGGCTCAAATTAAGCGTCTCATGGCTCTTGTCGATGAAGGTATTACCCACCCTTTTGCAAATGTTGCAGGTAAACATTATTCCGCTGCCTCTTTTTCTTCAACATCGTCTTCTTGGATTATTGATACGGGTGCCACTGATCACATGACTTTTGCCTCTCAAAATCTAAATAAAATATCTCATGGTCCAAAACATCCAATTAAATTGCCAAATGGGATTTCCATTCCGGTACAATCTAGTGGCTCTATCACCATTGCTCCAAATTTTGTGTTAAATAATGTGCTTCATGCCCCCTCATTTAAAGTCAATCTTTTATCGGTTCATCAAATTACCAAAGATTTGAATTATTCAATGACTTTCTTTCCTACTTTTTGTCTCTTTCAGGACCTTGCAACGAAGAAGACGATTGGGATGGGTACGGAAATTGACAGCTTATATCTCTTGCAACCATCTTCCTCGTCTCCTCCCTGTGCATTATCTTCCTTTTCTCGTGTTTCTCCTCAAATATGGCATACACGGCTTGGCCATCCCTCTAGAGCTCGTTTTCAACAATTAGCTCAAGATGATTCTCATATCACCTTTGATCCCACCTTGTTTTGTCAAGTTTGTCCCTTAGCTAAACAATTTCGACTTGGTTTTAATAATAGTGTTCTTACGACTATTAAACCTTTGAACTTATTCATTGTGATATTTGGGGTCGACAGTCATTTGCTTCCTTAAACGGAGCTCATTATTTTTTAACAATAGTCGATGATTTTTCCCGATGTACTTGGGTATTTTTAATGCGATTTAAATCTGATGCATGTTGCCTGCTACAATCTTTTTTTAGCATGGTTGAAAACCAATTTAATTGTTCAATTAAATGCCTTTGCACCGACAATGGTAAAGAATTTTTCACCCACATGTTCACTTCCTTTTTACGTGATCGTGGTGTGCTTCACCATCATAGTTGCGTTGGCACTCCTCAACAAAATAGTGTTGCTGAACGCAAATATCGTCACCTTCTTGAAGTTGCTCGCGCTTTACGCTTTCAAGCTTCCTTACCTATGTTATTTTGGGGTGATTACNTCGTCACCTTCTTGAAGTTGCTCGCGCTTTACGCTTTCAAGCTTCCTTACCTATGTCATTTTGGGGTGATTGCNCTCAACAAAATAGTGTTGCTGAACGCAAATATCGTCACCTTCTTGAAGTTGCTCGCGCTTTACGCTTTCAAGCTTCCTTACCTATGTTATTTTGGGGTGATTACGTACTCACTACCACGTATTTAATAAATCGCATCCCTACTCCCGTTCTTTCCGACAAAACACCGTATGAGGTTCTTTTTAATCGGCGTGCAACTTATGACCATCTTCGTGTTTTTGGATGCTTAGCCTATGCCACAACTCTTTTTCATAAAAATAAATTCGATAGTCATGTTTGGCGTTGTCTCTTCCTCGGTTATCTCTTTGGCCAAAAAGGATATCGTCTCTATGATCTTGACTCCAAGCAAATTTTTGTAGGTCGGGATGTGATTTTTTATGAAGAAATATTTCCTCTTCAAGCCACAAATGAGAATGTCGTACACCCCATTTGCAACACCCCCGTTGGAGTTGTTTCTCTTCCTGAACCACCCGAACTATTATCTCAACCCACTAATGGGCCTATATTTCAAACTCCTACGTTCCAGCCCATTGCTGGCCCTATCCACTCATCTCCACCACATAGCCCTCATCAATCTGGGCCTTTATTTTCACCTCCAATAGACCATTCACCTCCTATTTCCACACCTATTCTAACACCAGCCTTGGATGAGGACTCCACCGCTACTGGTTCGTCTGCTCCAACCGACAAGGACATATCAACGTCACCTATTGTGACCTGCCGTCGTTCTACTCGTACGCATCATCTGCCGTCTGCAAGACTATGTTTGTCCCACGCTTCCGCCCACTCAATCGCCAACTTCTTCGCAAGTTCGCTCCTCGGGTACTCGTTTTCCTCTTTCCAATTTTGTTTCTTATAATAAATTGTCTGCGTCTCACCGTGCTTTTGTAGCTTCCATATCTTCTTCCACAGAACCTACTACATTTGCAGACGCAGTACAAGACCCTCGTTGGCGGGACGCCATGGACGCTGAACTTGCCGCCTTTGATGCCAATAAGACTTGGACCTTGGTTCCTTTGCCTCCAAATAAAACACCCGTCGGTTGCAAATGGGTTTACCGCACCAAACACAAGTCTGATGGGACAGTTGAGCGCTACAAAGCTCATTTAGTTGCCAAAGGCTTTACTCAGCTAGAAGGTTTGAATTATCACGAGACCTTTGCTCCTATCGCTAAATTGACCATTGTTCACTGTCTTTTGGCTGTAGCTGCAATTTGTAATTGGTCCCTTCATCAACTTGATGTCAACAATGCCTTTCTCCACGGCGATCTACCTCCTAGCCTTGGCAAGCAGGGGGAGGCTTGAGTCTGTCGCTTGCAAAAGTCAATTTACGGCCTCAAGCAAGCTTCCCGTAATTGGTTTGCCAAGTTATCTTCTGCCTTACAAACTGCAGGTTTTAAAGCCTCCAAGGCCGATTATTCATTGTTTACTCATACGCATGGTCAATCTTTTACTGCTATTCTTGTATATGTGGATGATATCATTGTGACAGGCAATGATCCTCAAGCCATCAGTCAATTTAAAGCCTTTCTACAAGCTCAATTTCGCATAACGGATCTTGGACCTTTGAAATATTTTCTCGGCATAGAACTTGCTCGTTCTCATCAAGGTATATGTATTTCACAAAGAAAATACACCTTAAACATTCTAGCCGATGCAGGTTTGCTTTGGCGCAAAGTCCAGTGACTTTCCTATGGAGCAGAACCTAAAATTATCAAATGAAGAGGGTGATTTGTTGAATAATCATGTTGCATATCGTCGACTTGTCGGTAGACTCATTTACCTTACCATTACAAGGCCCGATATTGCTTTTTCAATTCATATGCTTAGTAAATTTATGCATGCCCCACGAAAGTCACATCATGAAGCTGCTTTACGAGTTCTTCACTACCTCAAAAATTCTCCAGGGCAAGGTATTTTATTATCAAGTTCGAGTACTTTAACACTCACTGCCTACAGTGATTCTGATTGGGCTAGGTCGTTCTACCACTGGATTCTGCATCAAATTAGGGAATTCTTTGATTTTTTGGAAACAAAAAAGCAATCCACTGTTTCCCGTTCATCAGCTGAAGCCGAATATCGAGCTATGGCTAGTACAAGTTGTGAGATAACTTGGCTTTGCTATTTACTCAATGATCTGTACGTTAAAGTCTCACAGCCTGTTATTCTATATTGTGACAACCAAGCTGCCATACATATAGCAGCCAACCCAGTTTTCCACGAGAGAACGAAGCACATTGAGTTGGACTGTCATCTGATTCGCGAGAAAATTCAACCTGGGGAACTACAAACAAGACATGTGCCTACTTCACGGCACCTAGTGGATTTGTTCATCAAACCTTTGGGTCGTGGCCAGTTTCAGAGTCTTCTAAGCAAGTTAGGCATTCATGATATTCATGCTCCAACTTGAGGGGAGTGTTGATTGTTATCTAAATCTTTTAGATCCTAATTTGTAGGATTGGATAATTATCATGTATTTATTTATTTTTTCTCTACTGCTTCCCTGTATGTTCTATTTAAACACTTTTAGAGTTAATGAGAAGAAGTTGTGTTTCACTTATATTGGTTTATTTAACAGACACAATTAGGAGCCTTCTCAATGAAGTCTTATATCAAGTGACATGACTTAAAAGATAGGTACTGTAAGGGGTAGAAATCGCTACGGATCTCATCCCTCCACTTAAAGGATTCCGGCTGACTTAGCGGCACCGAGTCCCAGTAGCCTTTTACCTCTCTTCGCCAATAGGACCCTTTCCTAAGGCAATCCCACATCGGAAGAGAGTCGTCTTCCCCCCTCGCATATAAGTCATTGCACTCAAAGGATGAGGTACCCACTAGCAACCTGATCAGGTGCCTAGTGGGTACCTCCTCCTTTGAGTGCAAGGGCTTATATGCGAGGGGGGAAGACGACTCTCTTCCGATGTGGGATTGCCTTAGGAAAGGGTCCTATTGGCGAAGAGAGGTAAAAGGCTACTGGGACTCGGTGCCGCTAAGTCAGCCGGAATCCTTTAAGTGGAGGGATGAGATCCGTAGCGATTTCTACCCCTTACAGTACCTATCTTTTAAGTCATGTCACTTGATATAAGACTTCATTGAGAAGGCTCCTAATTGTGTCTGTTAAATAAACCAATATAAGTGAAA